CTAGACCTGCCCTTAGATGCTCTTAGGTTCCGAAATTACCCCACATTCTTTTCCTATCTCTCTGTAAAATTTATTCCTTTATGTATGGCAAGAAACCAGTCTGGTCAAACTACAGAAAAAATCTAAGGATTCATAGCTCTGTGATTCAGTTTCAGGTACTAGTAACTAGTCTCTTCACATATCTCTCACATTCACACTTCCACTGCTTGTTCTATGCTCTGCAAGTACCTGCTTTGGTATCAAGGTTATGAGCTTGGGGTTCAGTACACTCTGCATGAATCCTTGCCCTGCCACTAATTAGTTGTATGGCCTTGCTGGTTATGTTAGCTCCCTAAGTCACAGTTTCTCTGAAATAAGGAAGAGGCAAATAGAACACCTCCCCCCACCATGCCCGCCTCTGGCACTGGAGGAGACTGTGCACCATAAATCTGCTTTCTCTCTCCTTACCACAACCATGTTTCCTCTAGTTGACCCCAGAAATGCTGAGTTACTAAGTAAAAGTAATAATAATTACAGTAATTTATGGAAACTGCTTATCATTTAAGCCTTAATTACCATGCAGCACAATAACAATTAGGCAAGCCATTAAATGTGTCAGATTCACTTTGCTGCACGTTTTATTTGATTTTTAACACTAACATCTATTCACACAGGCTCAGTTTGTAGCTCACACAGCATGTGCCTCCTTACAATTAAAAAAATATTAGAAAGAACAGTGCCTAGGAGGGGCAATCAGGCACCTAAGGGAGAAATTAAAAAAGTAATTTGTTTCAGAGAGCTTCAAATAGTCACTTTTCTTATCTCCCTCCCTACTCACAGGACTAAGTTAAACACGCCTAGGGTGGGAGAGGACCATTTCCCACTTCCAGATTTCTCTGGAGAATTGCACTGGCTGTTTTCTTTTTGCACCAGGGCATAAGGAGAATGCTGCCAGCTGATAGATTAACTTTTCTTGGTCAAGTGCCCATCTCTTGGTCCAGTGAACTAAGAGTAGGGGGACGGGGTCATGTGATAATATGACCGCTTGTGTCAGTTTGGGTTCTCTGACAAATAGACACCAAGATGGGATCAGAAGTGCTGGAGTGTTTTAAATCTGACTTCAGAAGGAGAGGAGAAGACTTAAAGACAGCCAAGATGGAATTCCTCACAGGTTTCCTTTGATGTGCAACACCACATTCCTAGGAATAAAAGCCAAAGTTGGGTATAGTTTGGTGGCTGATTGGTAAACCTAACCTGAGTCAGCATCCTGGTGACTTCTACTAATTTGAGACTTTATAATTAGGGCTGTAAGTTTCTAGTGAAAGGGAAGAGGTAAATGAACAACCCAAGATTTATCCACTACTAGAGGTAGGGAAATGTGCTGATAAAACTTCATATAAACGACCCATGAGTAAGGTAGCAGTTTAACGCCAAGCACAGTCACCGCCTGGAAGCTCCTGCAGCGAGCCCAGCCACGAGAACAACTTCCCTCTCTCCTAAAAACCTTGTTCTTGGGCCGGCCCCGTGGCTTAGCAGTTAAGTGCTCGCGCTCCGCTGCTGGCAGCCCGGGTTCGATCCCGGGCTCGCACTGACGCACCGCTTCTCCGGCCATGCTGAGGCCGCGTCCCACATACAGCAACTAGAAGGATGTGCAGCTATGACCTACAGCTATCTACTGGGGCTTTGGGGGGAAATAAACAAATAAAATTAAAAAAAAAAAAGCTCAGCGGCTTCCCAAAATTTGTAAAAAAAAAAACAACAAAAAACCTTGTTCTTTTAGCGTGAGCTTGCGGCATCCAGAAGCAAGGCTGTGAAGAAGTAGGAAGAGGACACGTGACCAGCACGACCTTTCTGTCTAGCCCACAGTCAGCGCTCACACACTTGCTAAGGGGACTACATGAGTTCCAATTTTTAAATAAATGCCGGGATGTGAGGGAGACCTAGATCTTTAAGGTAGATTTCTGGGTACAACTACTCTTCCCTTTTTTGTGAGGAAGACTGCCTCTGAGCTAACACCCATTGCCAAGCCTCCTCTTTTTGCTGAGGAAGGTTGGCCCTGAGCTAACATCTGTGGCCGTCTTCCTCTATTTTCTATGTGGGACGCCACCACAGCGTGGCTTGACAAGCGGTGCATAGGTCTGCACCCGGGGTTCCAAACTTGCGAACTGTGGGGCGCTGAAGCGGAGTGCACAGATTTAACCACTACACCACCAGGCCGGCTCCTAGGCTTCCTTTTTAAATCCAGCATGGCCATGCCCCCTCAGTTATCCCCCACCTCCTCACTCTTAGCACATGATCGTGCTTCCTTAGCCATAGTTGAACGCAAGAACCAGACAGGAACCTCAGCAGTCTGCTGCTGTCCCTAACACCGCAATCCACAAACATCCCCACGGAAACGCTGCACTTTCCTCTCTCCCTCACTACAGCGGAAGAAGGCATTTCCTCTCCTTTGCTTCTCATTCCCCCCGTGCTCCTTACGGCTTTGTTTTATCAATCAGCCCTGCTTTCCTATCTCCTCAACAACTCCTCACTCCATGTGATTCTGTCCCACAAGCATTTAATCATGCTTAGTTTCTTGTACCCTAAGGGGGGGGGGGGAGCTAAAACTTTACTTCATCCTGTGCCTCTCTGGAGCTACTCTTCTATTTTTCTTCCCCTTTAGAGGCTAGCTTCTTGCAAGAATTTTTATGTCAAATCTTCATTTCCTCACCAGTCATCTTCAATTCATTGCAATACAGCCTCTTCTCCGTCAAATCTAACATGCTTCATCCTTATCTTCCGGTTGAGCATTCTTTCCTGCTGGACGTGCTCCTCCCTCAGCTACCACATTACTGTCTTCTGGCTTCTCTCTCACTTCTTGGATTCCTCCTCCTCCTCCGTCTGTTGCACATGTTCCTTCTGTCCTCCCCTTAAATGCTGGTATTCAGCAGAGTTCCATTCTCAACGCTGTTCTAGGTCCCCTCATCTGTTTGAAGAACTGCAGCTACATCCTCATGTGTTCGCGACCCAGCCCTTATCTCACTGTTGAATCCCAGAGCCACGGAAACACCCTCCTGGACGCCCCTCCCTTGCGGCCCACAGGCACCTCCAGTTCAATATGCCAAGACAGGGAATTCATCATCTTGACCTCAAGGCTGCTCCTCCACTGAGTCCCCAGCTCAGTTAATGCCCTCACAACCCAGTCAGCTGTCCAGCTCAGACCCCTCGCCATCACTGCTGGCCTCTCCCTCCCCTATGTGCTAGGATGCCTTCTGTTCCACCTGCAAAACGTCTCAAGTATCCTGCTTCTCTCTAGCTTTAGTGCTACTGCCAGAATTTATTTAACCAATTCATTCATTCAAGAATCATCTACTGGTTATCTATCATCAGCTCTTGCCTAGATTACTGAGTCTCCTAGATTCTATTTGGACCCCCTCTAATCTGGTCTCCAGTTTGCAGCCAGAATGATCTTTAAAAAACAATCCCCTGATTAAAACTCTTCATTGGCTCTTCACAGTTTTTAGGATAATGCCACACTTCCCTAACACAGCATATAAGGGCTTGCATGAGCTAGCCCTTGCTTACTTCTCTTGACCTCCTCCCTCAGGATTCCCCTCCCGTCCACTTGTATTCAGCCGACAGTCTTATACTTGTTTCTGCCAACGTCCCCTTTCTCCAAGCCCGGTCTCCTTCTCACCTCCACAAGAAACCTGTACACAACTTTAGGACCTGCCTTAAGCATCAACATCTCCAGAAACCTTGGATCAGGCACCTGTCTGTTGAACTCTGTCAGGGCACTTATCACATCAGGAAACACAATGCCTGCTACCTTCTTGTCTCCTGTCTCTACTCTGTTGTGAGTTCTTAATAAACTTTTTTTAAGTAAACTTACTAAACTTTTTTCCAAATAAACTTCTTGGTTGTGAGTTCTTAGTAAACTTTAAACCGTTGGTTTATATGACTTGGTTTATATTATACAATGACTGTCATATAGAAGATCTGGATAAATATTTAACGAGTTAATAGGCTAAATGGTATTCTTTTGAGTGTAGGTAAACTAAAAACAACTAATATTCATTAGTACTTTATGGTTTATAACACCACTACCATCTCTCATTAATTTTCTTACAATCTCATTAGGTAGGTTGTACCATCAACCATATTTTAAATGTAAAGAAACAAGAACAGAGAAGTTAAGTGACCTGCCCAAGGCAGGACTCAAATCTAGGCCTACATGTTAGGACTGAGAATCTGCTCTTAAACAACCACATCTCTACTGAAATATTTAAAAGTGAGTGAGGTAATTCATTCTGTAATAAGACTTCAAATCATCCTATAACTTGCAGTTTAATCTTTGGACATAAAAAAGGGTATTTAAACAAATTTTAAAAAGAAAAGGTCTAACATGAATTAATAGCTGTACTGCTTAAATTTTTCATATATGAAGAAACCTCTCCATTTTTAACCATTGTATTTAACATCTCAGCTGATAAAAATTTAATTATCTGTGGTACTTATAGAGTTTATATGTTTATTAATACTATGAATAGCTGAGAATAGAATCAGAAAGCTTATCTGTTCTTGGAAAGGTTCATAGCTGTAGGCCCTTAGAAATGCCTGGTCACAGCCATCTTCTGGATCTTAAATAATGTACCACTAATGCTCTTGCTAGACACAGTCACGAATGAGCAGCAATATTACCAATTTCCTTTAACCTGACCTAGCATTGTAATCTACTTTCCTTGATGTGCTGACAAAGACCAAACTCAATTAAGAACTAATTTCTCATAGGTCAAAAATTTTCTTTCAGAGATTAGTTCCCGAGGATTAGGGTCATCCAATGCTGGAATTTCTATAGGGATATATCATAATTCTCATAGTCAACTACACCATACTCTAGAGTGGGGGAAAAAAACCCTCTTCCATCCAAATAACAAAGTATTACTGTTCCAACACAGAATTATTTAAATATTCAAGTGATTGTTTTAAGTTCATTTTTGAGACACATGTCAATAATTAAATAAACCAAAATGAATACTTACAATACATCCCTGAAGTCTCCAAACACATACATATGTCTGAAGCTGTCAATAGCTATTACAGGGCAATCTGCTGGAGTTTTCTGTATGTGCAGAAGAGGATGTCTAAATTTGTCACAGTCAGCATGTAAGAAGTTTATTGTACCTTTAAAAGAAATAGAATTTGTAGAGGTAGATTAGAATTTTCTTGATTGCATTCTCATAAGATTGCAAGTTCATAAAAAGTGACATACTAAAACAACCAACATGTTTTAGAGTGATATAGGTCACAAAAACTGAAACCTAAATATTACAACACACAAAGAGGTAGGATTTTAGCTCTTAGGGCAGAGAGTATAATTTCTTAGAAATTATATGAACTCAACCTGAATTCAAATGCTGTAGTGAATTTTGTATTTACCTTAAATGGGCTATCATCTGCTCTGCAGTGGGAGGAGCAAGTTCCTGAAACTAACATATGAGCTGTTCTCACGGGACCATCTTCACTTCATCAAGGATTCCCTTCCAGTCCCTACTGGTTGATTTTTAATCTAATTCAACCCCAAAAATATTTACTAAGGGACTAACATGGGCATGGCACTATACAATGCCTTCAGTTTGTTTGATTTTCTTCTCTAATTACAGAAGGAAAGCTGGTGATACCTCAAATTCTTTTTTAATACTTTGGAGAAGTCCACAGAGAACTACTCAACTTTCATTCATTTAGAAATAAATGTTAATCAGACTGTGTAAATTCTCTCAACAATATCTCTGAGACTATCTATTACAAAGGGACAAGAAAAGTATCAAGGTGCTGGAACAAAGTGCCTAAAGTTAACATCGTCCATCCATGACCCCACTTTTCACGCTGCTTGATTTTAGGGACTGTTTGGTTTTAGGGAGCTAAAACAGTCATGGTTTAAAAAAAAGAAGCCACTGCTTCATATTCTCTCTCTACTAATGCCTCCCACCCCCATGTTTACTTGTAATTTCCAGGGCTGAGTAGAGTTAAAAGAACTCAATAAATTTTTAACCCAAATATGTTTATGTCAGTATGAATGTAATGGGGGCGGGGGGAGAAAGAAAGAAACAAAGAGAAAGAAAGGATGAAAATAAACACCTTAATCCATCTACCTTTTTCACTTATTAATTGTCGAGCTACTTCATTCTGGAATATCTCTAAACTTTCTGTATCTTCTTTCATGTGGAAGAGTATGAGAAAAGGCAGTCCTTCTTCTGTCAATTCCTGTATAGAGAAGTATTCAATGAGAATTATCAGGCCTTTCCATTCAGTTCTAGCTATTTTCTGGGTAGGAACAATTTTGAACCCCACCCACATAACATGCAACAGTTGGAACATTCCAGGAAAAAACGGTTCAGTGGGGTAAACAGACATTAGCTTGAGTGGAAGAGGGAACTCATTCCCTCCCCCAGCACTCGAGGACCCACATGTCCTCCCGCTCTACTGCACAAACTGATCTGCCTTAAAGTTACCACTGGGCTGGGCTGGTAGCTAGTACTGGATGAAGCTACGATATTTAAAAAATGAGTTAACCAAAGGAGGAACTATGCTGGTTCTTTATCAAGATGTTGATTTAGGGTGGGGTAAACATGATTAGTATTTTCAGTCTTCACAGATAACACTGAAAAACTGAGTGTACCAGTAGCAAATAAATCTGATTTGCAAACTTACGTTTTTCTAAGGTTTATTGCAAAAACCACTCCACTTACATGAGGCCTACCCAAAGCTGAAAAGTGTCTGATTCAGAGCAAAAGACAAAAACCCCGTAACATAGCCAGTTTTCAACCAATACACAATTTATCAACATTATTACAAATACCTGCCACTATATATGTGCATGTTTACATAGCTTGTAATAAATACATACACAAAAGTACCTCAAGAATTATAAAGTGCATTAAAAATTTGTATTATTGTTATTAGAGAATAATACAGGAGAAATGTGATAAGTAGACAGCAGATTTTAATCATTTATTCTCTCTGACAAATGCTAAGTTCTGACTTATAAAAAAAAGTCCAGAAAGGGCCTGATGATAAAATTATTTCCATCAACTATCCTTTTGCATGTATCTCTGTAATTTAGGAACTGCCTCAGCAGAAAGCACAAATGTCCTTTTTCCAAAAATAACTGAAACAAACCTATCTTATAGGATAGGAATTTTCTTCCAATTCCTATCTCCATGTTTAAGCCTGTTACACTCATATACAGGATAAATTATTAAGCTTTTCATCACATTTACCTTTTTTTTAATTAAGATATAATTCACATACCATAAAATTCACCATTTTTAAGTGTGCAATTTAGTGGGCTTTATTATATTCACAAGGTTTGCAAACATCAATATTATCTAATTCCAGAACATTTTCATTACTCCAGAAAGAAACCCCATACTCATTAGCAGTCACTCCCCATCTCTACTGCCCCAGCCCCTGGCATCACACTGACCTTTTAGCTACCTGATCTAAAGTTTCTTCTTCCTCACTTTTTACCCCTTGGGCTCACATTTTTTCTCTCCCACATACAATAACTGCTACTACTCCCCACGGCTCTGTCTGTGGACTTCTCTCCTCTAGCCTGGCAACTTCCACTAGCTCAACAACCTCACCACCACCTCTAACTGAGCTGTTATCTGCATCTCCAAGCCCAGCTCCAGTCCAGCATCCAGGTCTAGATTTCGACTTCCTGCTTAATATCTCCATTTCCAAGTCTAATGTTGAGTCTTCAACACTCCACATTAATGCATGGCCCCTCCTCTTAACTTCTCTATTTCCATTAGTAGTTCTTTCTCTTGTAGCCCTTCTGTTTCAGGACTGAAATGCCTCTCCTAGAAATCCATTCCTGATTCTACCCCATTTCTGCCAAAGGTGGAAATGAATTCTCTCCTGTGAGCTCCCAGAACACTCTCAGTGCCCTCACGTGGCACACCTGTATATTCGTTATCTGTACACGTGAACTGCTGAACTGCAAACCCCTTGAAGACAGAGGCTTATTTCACTTGTCCTTTGCTCGCAAATGTTTGTACACAATAATGTGTAATCAACCTATGACTGAAAAACTGAAGACACAAGTATTGCTGAATACTAATTGGGAAAGAAGATTCAGCAGTCACCTTTTAGAAAACTTAAGAGCCAGGAAGATAAAAGTAAAAACAATATAACATATTACTTTATTAGACTAAGCAAAAATATGGATGAACTGGGAGAGAAGTAATAAACAGATTATAGTAGTTTGAAAATATCTATGTCGATTAGCTTGCTAAGCTAATTTACATACATTAACGTAGCAGCTGGCAGTTTATGCTGGTTGGGCTTCCTAGCTTACCTGTGCCCATACCAACAGATTCTTTTTTTTTTTTTTTTTTGTGAGGAAGATCAGCCCTGAGCTAACATCAGATGCAAACCCTCCTCTCTTTCTTGCTGAGGAAGATCAGCCCTGGGCTAACATCCGTGCCCACCTTCCTCTACTTTACATGGGACACCACCACAAGCATGGCTTGACAAGCAGTGCGTTGGTGCGCTCCCGGGATACGAACCTGCGAACCCTGGGCTGCCAAAGCGGAGCGCGCAAACTTAACTGCTACGCCACCTGGCCGGCCCCCCAACAGATTCTTTACTAAGCAGGTATTAAAAGATTCAGGGAGGGACAGCAAGACAATCAGATTTAGAGGTTAACAAATCTCTCTCCATAGTTTAAATGATTTATGGGTAGCTGGTTATAATATAATAAATCTAAAGAATAATTAAATGTGCCAACTACTATGGGGGGGACCCCTGTTTAATTGTTTAAGATTTTCCAGGTCTATAGCTTTAAACTCTGTCTTTGAAACTATTCCTGCAAGAACTGCCACAGCAGGTGATTAATCGCCACAAGTTACAAAATCTCTTTGAGCCTCTGAGGACTAAATGAGCTAATGCAATAAAAATGTAAGTAATTCAGCTGAACATCCCTGAAGCCTAGACAACTGAGGAAAGTAGCGGGAATGTTCATTTGAAAAACTAAGCAAGCAAGCCAGCTTTACCGGAACACAACCACACTCACTTATGTATTGTCTAAGGCTGCTTTTGTGCCACTGCTGCAAAGTTTCGTAGTTGCGACAGAGACAGTATGAACTGCAAACCCTAAAATATTTACTATCTGACCCTTTACAGAATTGCCAGCCTCTGACTAGGTAGTGATTATACGGGTGTGTTTACTCTGTGATAACTTCCTGAGTTGTATATTTAAAATCTGAGCTATGCACATATAATTCTTTGTAGTGTATATGCATATAAAAAGTTTAATTGTACTTAAAATGTTTGTTTTAAATTGCATTCTTAGACTGTGGGTTTTAAAAATGAAGGAGTGAAATGTAATGAAAGATACGTTTTGAATATAGTAAAGAACAGAAGAGGTACCTCACAGACATAGCCCTTTGTACTTTTCCAACCTCTTAAGTTTTTGTGGGAGTTGTAAGTCTGCACTGTATTTTAAGTGCATGGGATCACTGAAGTCAGTTACATGATAACTAGTAACTGTTTTCTTATTTACGATGGAAAAAGAGAACACAATTTCATTTTTTCAGGATAGAAAGGAATCAGAAAAACCTCTCTATGGCATAGCATTATCCACTGTATACAATTAATTGTAACTAAAATCTGCAGAGTGTTGCTTCTAAAGGACATCCACTTACACAGGAATCTTTGTGGGTATCAGAATCACCAGAGAGGTGTTTTCAAACTCATTTTCAAGGCTGTAGTGAACCACTGCAATTGCAGGAAATGCAACAGAGAGGTTCTGGGACAGCAAAGGTGGAGAAGCACTGGCCCGTATTACGGAAATAGCTATGATGTAGTTATGTTCACTGTGTGATTTTTACAACAAGTCTGTGATAAGTCTGTAGTAAGATGGGTGGAGGAAGCTTGCTCTCTCAGAAATCTGAGTTAAAAATAACACCACACATTAGAAATGTGCCCATACCTCTCCATTTTCAAATGTTATTTCCCGGACAAGAGGAACGCATTTATCTTGAATCCAATTGTAAGTCCCGTCAAAATTGGTCATGGATCCCAAATATACCATATCTGGAGCAGAATGCTGTTACAAAAACAGAAAAAAAAATAAAACAAATCCAACCTGTGCTAGCAAAAATGCATTCTTAAAGCCATCTATGAGCCCAGAAAATCTACAGAGGATACAAAAGAAGCAAAAAACATGGAACTGCTGAGAAAGAGGGTTGTAGATGGTAAAAAGCTAATAATTTCATGATTATCAGGGACCTTATTATCCAACCTGTGATGTCTAAGCCTTCTGCTTTTCCTTCGATTTGTGTCAACTAACTATCAGTATCTTAAATGGCAGGCAGGCATTGTGAAAAGAAGAATTATCCAAGTGAACTAATTTAGCTATCCCTTAAAGTTGAAAATGTTTGAAGAAAATTTAGGGACTTCCAGTGAAAAAGTCTTGAAAAATACAAGATACTATATAAATCTAAGGCATGGCTCTCTCTAATATTAATTACCTCCAGTATCTGTTTCCATATTCACTCAAAATCAATATTTATGAAGTGCCTAAAATGATGATAAAAATACTAGCTAACAGGAACTGAGTAAACTGTGTCCAAGCACTGCTGTAAGAACTTGGGTGTGCCGACTCACTTAACCCTCAGAACATCTCCATAAGGCAGGTGCTGTTATTATCATGGCTGTTTTTACTAATGAACAAACTGATGCACGGAGAAGCTAATACACTTTCCCAGAGTTAGACACCTAGGAAGGTGGCAGACTGGACATTAAAACTCAGTCTCATTCCAGAGCCTATGCTTTTAACAACCAAACTACGTCGCGAGACACTGTAGTGGATTCTGATAATCGAGAGACCGTCCCACTATGTTAGCTACTATTAAAGAAATGCCCTTGCAGAAAATACAGGCAAATACCTATCTGAATTCAGAATAGGAAATGAGCTTTCTAAGCAAAAACTTCATTCACATAACTACATAAAAATTAAAAACTTCAGTGTGTCAAAATACTACAAACAACATTAAAATGAAAACTATGAATTGAAAAATTATCTATAGATTTCTATTTGTGTGTGTGTGAACAACTGCAATGACAGACCATTAGGTCAATTCAGGATAACAAATACTGTGTTTTTGTGCCTCTTAGCTGTGGCTACCATTGTCTGGGCCTAAGCACTACTAAGTTTAGACACACACAACTTCTCGGCCAAGGGTTAAAATCAACCTAGCACTCCTTACTATCTGACAAGTAGTAGGTTAATTTATACCCCAGAAGATTTGGGAGCTTGGCTAGTCTGATTCAGGTAGGAGTGATGATCACAGACCCCTGGAGCATTTTTCTGAATTTGGGTCCCAGGCTGAACACAAAACAGAGAGGTGGATAAGGCCTGGGGACCAGAGGATCCTGCCACTAAATGCTTCTGTGACTTCAGGGCTCTGTGTCCCCATCTTTGAAAGGTTTGCCATTAGCCCAAGACGATGCCTTGAGGTTCCTTTCTATATGAAAATTCTATGACTCTGTGAATACTAACATGTATAAAACTATAGATTATACTATACATGTATTTAAATTATATTTATACACACTAAGAAATAACAACTTACCCCTGGTGGTTTGTAGATTATGTTGTCTCCGCTATATCTTTCTGGTTTTGAAACAGCCCTAATAGGAAGAGAGAAGTATGAATAATACTTTTTAAGAAAAATAATAGCAGTAATATACCTGAATGAAGCAGAATCGGTTAGTTGTTTTGCAATGTATGAATTATAACAACTTGAAATATATACTTGTCCATCATCTTTCCTACTTATAAAATTATGCAATACCAACAAGAGGATATATTCAAAGGAAAAATTTAATCCGAGGCAGATTTTTTTAAAGGAAAATTTTAGTTAGCTGTTTTTGTGACTCGGTATTTTATAAGTTTGGATTGGCAGTTTTAGCACTAAAAAGCTGGTTTTGACCCCAAACTGTTTCCAGTAACTGGGGATCAAGGTCATTGATGTGGTCAATGACCAATCACAAAAACACATTATTTGCTTTTAAGTCAGACTCAACCGTAAATTCTCTACTTTTTACTTTTTAAAACTAAAACTTCTAAAAAACAGACAAATTGAAATGACCTACATCATCAGAATACAGTTCATAAATAAGCCATGGTTTTTTTTATTGTTCACTGTTGTTTTCTGTGCTAGTACAGTAGCTGTCACATAGCAGGTGTTCAGTAAATATCTGGTGAGTGAATTCTAGAACAAATTCTAAGTCAAATGGGTTACTTTTTCTCTTTCTAAATTATATTTGGATTAATTGAACACTGATTTATCTCCAGTTTCTGACTAGAGTAGTACAGGAGATGGAGCAAGGGATGCTAACCTAGACTGACGACAGTGGAACAGAAAGGAAGAACGTGCTTCATTCATTCATTCATCCATTCATTCACTATTTACCATGTGCTTCCTTTATACCAGGTATGGTCCTGGCACTGGGTATACAGCAGTGAACAAAACTGACAATGCCTGTGCTCTCATGGAGCTTCCATTTTGGTGGGGAAAGACAGACAAACAATTAGATACATTTATCTTGAGAGGTGCTATAAAGAAAAATAACTGGATAAAGAATGACAAGTTGAATGATAATATTGCTATTTATACAAAGTTATCAAGAAAGATCTTTCTGATGAGACGATATCTGGGAGAAGCACTTCAGATACAGAGAACAGTGAGGGCAAGGACCGTCCTGCAGAAGTGGCCTGCAGTGTGAGGACCAGCAAAGTAGCCTGTGTGGTAAGAAGGCAGTAATACGAAAAGCCTGGGAGAGAAGTCCCTTCATTATTGACTCTGTATGTTGATCTTCAAAAAACACTGATAATGTTTACAATAAAACACACACACAACATCTACGGAAGCATTAAAACAAGGACAAAGGTCACAAAATGGAGAGGACGTACTGCACCAGAGATCGGGGCTCTATTCCAGATAGGTACTACAGCTGAGTCCAACAGTTATGGGCCAAGGAGAAGAGAGAAATGATATTGCATAAAGTCAAAGGATGGTGGAGACAACCTCCCATGAGAAGCAAGGGTCAAGAACAGAACCATAAGAATGATTCCATTTTGAGAGAGAAAGAAAAAAGTAGGAGATAACGTCAGAGAAGTCAGAAAGGTAAGGAGCAAACCAAGGGGATCCGACATGCAGCAAGCATAGACACTGCAGAAAAACGACAGGGTAGCTGAGGGTCACATCCTTCAGGGAAACTAAAGAGGATTAAGACTGCAAAAAGCCCAGTGGATTTGGTGATTAAGAAGTCATTCTGTGACTGTGCAGAGAGCAGTTTCATTAGACTAACAGAGGTGAAAGCCAGCTTCAGAGAGGTTAAGGTTTTTTTTTTTTACTGGTTAAAGTTGAGAAATTCAACATAGCCAAGCATAAACTAGTCTTTGAAAAACATTTTGGAATGAAAAGAAAGAGATGAGATTTAGCTCAAGAGATAGAAGAGAAAGGTCAGGAAAGAGAATCATGTGTTTGTAAAAGGAAAATAGTTCATGAAAAGGATCAGGCTGAAAGCAGGAGAAAGAAAACAAGGACAACTGATGCTCGAAGCCCCGGAGGATTCTGAAGGGACAGTCACAAGGACACAAGTCAAGAGCTTAGCCTTGGAAAGGAGCGTTGCTCCTCTGAGACAGGAGAGAGAGAAGAAAAGGGGGTGGAGAGCCTGAGAGGAACAAAGATGAGGAAGCTCACACTTCTTAACGAGCAAGACGATGTGTTGTTTCAGTGTGGAAACCCCACAGGTTAGCATTCTGCACGACACAGGATAGTGTCAGTAAATGAGCTGAAGAAAAGCATGCGAGTTAGTTGTTAGCTTATTCATTCTTTTCCTCTTAACCATATTCTGAAATAGAATATAGAAAGAAAAATAAGCAGACTTTTTATCTCTTGCAAGTTCAGAGATATCTAGTTGGTGACTCTAAGAAGACTGAGACAAGGGCCAGCCTAGTAGGTAGGGGCCTAGTAGTTAAGTTCAGCACCCTCTGCTTCAGTGGCCCGGGTGCAGATGCCGCGAGTGGACCTACACCACTCGTCAGTGGCCACGCTGTGGCAGCCGCCTACATACAAAATTGAGGAAGACTGGCCACAGATGTTAGCTCAGGGTGAATCTTCCTCAGCAAAGAAGAGGAAGATTGGCAACAGATGTTAGCTTGGGGTGAATCTTCCTCAGCACATAAAAAGGACTGAGACAATTTCTGGAAAGGCCATCCTCAGAAAATGACACAACAAGAATTGAACATGGCAGCCAAGCTGTCCCACTTACACACTCGCAATTAAGATACTTACCCAAATGCAGAAAGGAAGGCACAATCATCGTGCAAAATATTTGCTACTCTTTCAAAAACTCTATAGTTTTCTGAATCCTTTTGCTCAAAATATCCAATGATATTTCTTTTGCTGCGCTGCAAGATAAGGTATGTAATTGTTTTACAAACACACCGAGTTCTATAAACATGTTATTTCATTTACCCAGCTGTTGTTCAGTTATCTCCAAATGAAGTATGACTATCTATAAATGCATATTTGGCTTTTAACATCTAGTCCAAAACTATTAAAGATTACATTGGGTTGAAAACAATCTCAACTACAATCTAATGTAATTCTGAACATTTCCTTCTAGCATTTTATTTTAAAATTTCCAGAAATAGATAACTATTTAATCAGTGACAGTCTTTTCCTAACTAAGGTGACTAAATCTAAAAGGTGTTAAAATAGTACATCAATTCATCACGTGTGACTGTAGGTAGCGACTCCTCCATGGCTCCCTCACACTCCTACACACCTAGGTATACTCGAATGCAAGACCCTGCCGGCTCCTTACCCAGGCCATTTCTCAGGGTTGTGCTTACAGCAAGCAATACGGAGGACTGGGGTAATGCCTCCCTCCAGGACAAACAGCAGGCTTACTGCCGGCTCTGGAACCAGAGTTCCCCAAGCCTGGAGTTCTTCTCCTGTAACTCAACTCACTGTATGTGCAGGCATCCATCTGGGCCCTCTGTGTCACCTCTATAGGACTTGGAGGGCAAGGAAACAAATGCAAACATGCTCATGCTGTTTGCTGTGACGTGAGCAATAAAAGTCCTTTGTCTCTGACCCAGGAGCTTTGTGCCTTCTGACAGCATCCATGAAACAGTAACTGGCTAACTTACTAGCTTGTAAGTAAATATCAAATCTCAAACCTGACAATGACAATCTAAAGCCCAAACTCAACTGTTTTGTTTTTTTAAACACTACTTCGCGTACAAAGAAAAGCGTTTGCTAAGCTTATTATTAAGGGGGACTATTTTAGAGGACACTAAAACCTATACAAAGAGCTCACATAGGAGTAATTAGAGCAGATACCTGAGGGTCTCCACCAAGGAAAATATGGAAACTTTAGTTGTGAATGCCTGATGTTAACTTCTATTTCTTCATAATTTAGGCTACCCTTTGCCCTCAATTAAGCCAAATTAGTACAACTTTACTGTATGCTATGTATTTTATCCAAAGGTTCAGTAAAACATTAGCATTTCCCTTGAGAATTCAAGAAAAATTCAACTGGCTAAGCATGCATATGTCAAATCCATTGCAATGAACTATAAGAAAATGTCCAGATTCTTTGATTGCATAAGAATTTATTTACATTAATTAAACAGGCAATGTTCATTTGATCTAGCAAAAGTTAACAACTTACATCAAGAGTGGTGACTTCTGCTAAGTCATGAAGCTCCTGAACGGGGTCACTTTTCTGTTGCCTGATGTAATCTGCGAGGGCCTTCACTGATCGCTGACCCCTGTACTCTCTCTTCATCATCATCCCATTACGGAACAGTTTGAGGGTCGGGTATTTGCTTATCCTATATCTCTGGGCTATATCAGCTAAAAGAATGAAAAAGAAATTAACTTCACCCTCGCACTTGGTCTGGGTGAGCCCATTAGCCCAATAGTCAAAAATCTTACAATTATTTAGTGTGAACATCTGGTTCATATAATTCTTTTTCAGTGTTAGAGAAAAAAAATTAATCGTGACAAGTTTATATTGGTTAAGAGGCCAGACTCTGCCTCTTAAATATATTGCCTGATTTAAATCCCAAATTTGTTATTTACCGGTGGTGTGAATTTGTAAGTTCCATCAACTCTCTATGCCTTAGTTTCTCATCTGTTATGCAAGGATAATAATTTCTACTACATAGGGTTGTTTTAAGGACTAAATGAGATAATACAAATGGCAGGACACAGTAAACTCTCAATAAGTGTTAGTAAATATTATTATAGATATATTCCAGAATAGAATTAGAATGCACAAAATTCCAATTTTGAAAACAGTCATTCAAGTCACTTTATACTGTAAGGTTGTCTTACAGCATTTAATAAAAGAAAATTAAATTTAAATTAAAACTACTCTCAAAGGCTAAAAACTAATATTAGGTTCTTTGCTAGAAGAATAATATATAATCCCAAATATGCAAATTTTGTGTAAGCTAATACAATAAAACCCAAAACTCAGCAGTATACACTAAAAAAACCCCTTTATTATGACCTATGGGTATATTCTCAGGTAGTGGAGACACACACACACACACACACACACACAAATCATTAAAATTAGTGTTTATAGTCTCAAAATAAGAACCTAAATCAAAATGTATGCTGATCTCATTTTTAGGAATCACCATTACTAAGACATAGACTCAATTAGAACGGAAGAGCCTTTAAATTTTTCTGCTGTTATTTCTAAGAGGTGGCACATAGGAGAAATCAATGTTTTCTAGACACTGGAAAAGCTCAAATGTCATGCTAGTCAGGTGTATGAGATTGATAAAAGATGCACTGAAATTTCAGAATGAAAGGGACCTGAGAGAGCACTGAAGTGGCCTAAAACAGGTGAAAATTTTTTTTCTTAACTGAGTTCTAAAATGAGAGCAGTGGGCCGACCCCGTGGCTTAGCGGTTAAGTGCGCGCGCTCCGCTATTGGCGGCCCGGGTTCGGATCCTGGGCGCGCACCGACGCACTGCTTCTCCGGCCATGCTGAGGCAGTGTCCCACATACAGCAACTAGAAGGATGTGCAGCTATGACATACGACTATCTACTAGGGCTTTAGGGGGAAAAAAAATAAATAAATAAAATGAGGGCAGAATTCTAAAAGGATGGCACAAAAAACTCTGAAAATTCTCCTACCCTGCGTCCATTTCTAGCAGTTACAAAACAAAACAGAACTACAATAGGCTCTGTTGACCACCTAAATTTTCTAGGAAATTCGATGGTAGAAACAACTGTACTGGAGGGTATTTACATCTATGTGTGCTGACAGTTGCATGGGTGTATTCATAGGTCAAAACTTATCAATTTGTACATTTTAAACATGTACAGTTTGTTTTATGTCAGTTATACCTCAGTAAAGCTGTTTAAAAAATCTAAATGAGGGCCGGCCCTGTGGCGTAGCGGTTAAGTGGTCATGCTCCACTGCTGGTGGCCTGGGTTCGGATCCCGGGCGCGCACCGAGGCACCGCTTGTCAGGCCATGTTATGGCAACGTCCCACATAAAGTGGAGGAAGATCGGCATGGATGTTAGCTCAGGGCTGATCTTCCTCACACACACAAAAAAATCTAAATGAACGTTGACTATACAAAGCAACAACAATAGTTATGCCTTGCGGGGTCTAACACAAATTAAAATACATGATGACAACAACAGCAGGGGAGAAGAAGTAAGCAGGAGGCTAATGATTCCAAGTGTTCTAAGGTCTTAACACTGCCCAGAAAGAGGTAAAAGTACTTATAATATTTTGATAAGTCAAGGGTGCATCCTGTTCTCTCTTGGATAAGCAATCAAAGAATACTAAAATGGTGTAGTAGAAGTTAAGGATGGAATAGGGGTTCTCAGAGCGGGGTTTGGAGAAAAGGCTATGTAATTAAGATCACATAACACTTTGGTAAACTCCAAGGAGGATTTATAAAGGGGGATATCACTCTTAAGTACTAAAATTCTTTAAACAGAAGACCAATATGAGTAAACAAAAGGAACTACTGGTCATATATGAGATCAAGGAGAATATTTTATTTACCAAATCACAAAAATCTGAAATAATATTAAGATATCTTAATATACACATATTTAATATAGACACTAATCTGTTTGGTTTAGGAGTTAGTACTTCTTGAAGCAGAAGACTAGGAGACACATTAGCCATAAGCCCTTTTGCAGCCTGATAGATTATAACGAGAGAACAAGTTTTTGAGGTGTTATAAAAATGGTGGGTTCTATTACATGAGCAAGGAATTAATGAGATTAAATTGGTACTACAAATTGAGGGGTCTGAGAGGTTTCACAAGCAAGTAGAAGTCTTTTAAGATAAACAGAGGGGCCGGCCCCATGGCGTAGCGGTTACGTGCGCGGGTTCCGCTGTTGGTGGCCCGGGTTCGGATCCCGGGCGCGCACCCACGCACCGCTTGTCAGGCCATGCTGAGGGGGTGTCCCACATAAAGTGGAGGAAGATGGGTACGGATGTTAGCCCAGGGCCAGTCTTCCTCAGCAAAAAGAGGAGGATTGGCATGGATGTTAGCTCAGGGCTGATCTTTCTCACTCACACAAAAAAGATAAACAGAGGCACTTGTTACAAGGCAAAAGCCACAAAGGCTTAGAAGACGATCAGCTCAGAGAAATAATAAAAAGTAAGGAACTTTACCTTCCTAGTTCAAAAATACATTCAGTCTCTAGCACACTACACACTGAAACCTAGCATATTATAAAATGAATTTTTGCAGTAATGTATAAATGAAAAAGTTTTCAATAAAAATGATTAAAATTAGGTTAAATAGTTCTACTGGCCAATGCTACAATGTTGTGGTCTGGAATATGGAAAATATCTTTTGAAAAAGTTACTATTTCTCCCAAATATCCATCATTAGACTGGTTAAATAATATGGTACACCCATACATGGTTAAATAATATGGTACACCCATACAATGAAGTACTACGCTGTTATATAAAGGAATTAAAAAGATCTTTCTGGGCCGGCCAGGTGGCTTAGCGGTTGACTGCGTGCGCTCTGCTGCTGGGGGCCCGGGTTCAGATCCCGGGTGCGCACCGACCACCGCTTCTCCAGCCATGCTGAGGCCGCATCCCACATACAGCAACTAGAAGGATGTGCAACTATGACCTATAACTATCTACTGGGGCTTTGGGGAAAAAAAAAAAGGAGGAGGATTGGCAGTAGATGTTAGCTCAGAGCCAGTCTTCCTCAGCAAAAAGAGGATTAGCATGGATGTTAGCTCAGGGCTGATCTTCCTCAGAGAAAAAAAAAAAAAAGATCTTTCTATGCTGCTAAGGAGCAATCTCCAAGATACATTGTAAGTGAAAAAGTCAGGTGCAGAAGAGGGCGTATAGGTATGATATTTTGTGTAAAAAATATGGAGAAGAAACTTGGGAAAGAAGTATGAATATATATGTATATATACCTACATACATATATTCTGTGTGTGTGTGTGTGTGTGTGTGTGTGTGTGTGTGTAAGCAAGCATATATATCTTTGCCCCCTCCTCCCTCTAAAAAACACCACCAATGGGAGAAAATGCAAGGAGAGGTCACAGATGAAATTTAAACTTGGTTTTATAGTTTTGACTTTAGAACCATGGAAATGTTTAACAGTAAAACAAAATTAGATTTAAAAAAATTTTAACAATGGCGTTGCTACTTTGAAATAAATACACACCCATCTTACAGATAAAGCACCTGAGTAGTTATGCTAATACCATTAAGAGTCAAGATTTCCAGCATAAGAGAAAAAAAGATACAAATATAAAATTGAGAAAATTAAGTAAAAACCCTGTAATATTTAATTTGAATTGGAACTACCAGCAAAAACTCATGATGTATTTTTCTTTTTCAAAAATATATCTTTCTAAATGCTTTCCATGGAAAGTTTTATTGGCCAGTTCTACCAAATAAATATTTAAGGAAGAAATAATACCATTTGCACACAAACTTTTCCCGAAAATTGAAGAGAAGGGATTACTTCCCAGCTCATTTTCTGAGGCCAGCATTACCCTCACACCAAAACCAGACAAAGACATTATAAGAAAAGAAAATTACAGACGAATACACCCAATAAACAAAATTAGAGAACTTACACTAGTGGACTTCAACACTTACTGTAAACCTACAGGAATCTGGACAGTGTGACACTGGCATATAGATAGACAAACAGATCAATGGAAGAGAACAGAGTCTAGAAATAGACCCACATATACACGGAGGAGTGATCTTTGACAAAGGTACAAAAGTAAAATCTTACTATATACCACTTATAAAGCACACAGCTACACACAAGGATGCAGAAAGCTTGAAAGTAAAAAGATGGGGAAAAATACGCCATGCAAAAACTAATAAAAAGAAATCTTATATAGCTATATTAATAGAAATAAGTAGACATTAAGGCAAAAAGCATTACTAGAGATCATAATAATAAAAAGTTCAATTCCCCAGGCAGATATAACAATTCTAAATTTGTATGCATGAAATAAGAGCCTAAAAATATATAAAGTAAAAAACGACAGAACTACAAAGACAAATCTACAATTATGGTGGGAGATTATTAACACACTTCTGGTAACTGATAACACAAAATCAATAAAATATAGAAAACTTGAACAACAACTAAGAAACTTGACTGAATTGACACATAAAGGATATACTACCCCAAAGCTGCAGTATACACATTCTTTGCAGGTATATATACCATATAAAAAACAAACTTATGATGAATCACAAAAAAAGTCTCAACAACTTGCAAATGACTCAACTCAGAGAAAATAAAGAAACTTCTCTATACCCATAGATCAAAGATGAAATCACAAGGGAAACTGGAAAATATTTTG